TTGAACTTAAGAACTGGAAATATAGTTCAGTAAACATCATGGTGAGAACCTCAGATTACAGATTCTTGAAGTCAATCAGGATTCGATAGCTAAGAATTATTGAGATCTTTAAGATTCCTAAGAATTTGTGCAAACCTTATTTCTATGAGTTAAGAGAACACTACTAGTCTTTATCATGTACATATCACAACTGAAGCCACACAGATGTATACCCAAGAGTTGATTTAAAATGGACACCTAAAAGCCAAATGGCTCTTCCCATATACTTTACTATTCTTTTAAATGCATTTTATGAGAGTGAAGACAATGAAGCAATGCTTGCAGTAACATGCTACGTTACATTTATTCATTCATACATTTATTTTTCCTGGTGGGAGCACCTAAACCTTTGGCTGTACAAAAGCCACAGAAAGTCAGTTACCAAATTGGATCTGAGAACTGTTTTTAACCATTGGCCAAAGCACCTGAATTCTGGAGAAGGGTGAAAGGAAGATTATTTCCTTAGCATGGGAGACTATTAGCAATACCAAAGAACTGAAAGCTTTATCTTCTGTGAGGGAATTAATCCCTATCTGAAGGCCACAGAATAACCTTGTTTATTTTATCCATTCATCTCCACCCCTGAAGAACTGATTTCTGAAGAAATCCAAGTCTCAGGGAGTTTCACTGAATATTTATAGGACCTAAGTTACTTCTATTCCACCTGAACCCACACAGCTAATGTACCTTCTCTGAGACAAAACACCACCTTAAATAACATCTAAAATGTCATTGCTATTGCAATTTTAACTCTTAGGCAGGAATACTTTCCGTCTTCAGTAAACATCAGTCTGGGACCATTTAAAAAATCATGATCCTGTCGTTAAAAATAACTATTAAATACAGGAGTCACACTGTCTTAATAAGCTCTTTGTTTCTGGAACTAAAAAATACTTTACTTATTCTTATTGACTGACTGAGTTATAAGATCACTGCTCCAGAATGTGACAGTACTTCAGAAAATAAATTTTCTTTCTTTGCCCTTCCACATTACTGATAAAATGAAATAGTGCCCTAAGCAAGGGCTATTATTATTCAAATGTTTCATACATCAAATATATCCAACATCAATTCTTATTTTTCAGTTGATGATCAATAGATGATTTCATAATTAATATTCCTTCAGCCCAGAGAGCCAATATATAAATTTCCTTCAAGTGGACTCCATTTTTTTGTAAACTTGCAGGTTCTGAATCCACAAACTGCACAATAAAAAGAACTCTGCCAGAAATTATATGTTGAAACTAAAAATCCACTAAAAATCCATTTTCATGATTTATAAGAAACATAGGGTAATATGTTATAAACGAACTATATATAGAATCAATTTTAAAAATATTCACTAAAAAAACTCCCAAGTAATTAAACATGTTATTGAAAAAAAAATGAAAAAAAAGCAGCTAGAAGAAAAACATTTTTATCAAATTCAAGAACTCTGCGAATTACTTCAGCAGTGGAAACTTAGCAAATAAATGCAAAGACTTCACTGAGAAGAGGAGATAAGGAAAGACATTTGAAAGAAGACAGAACTGTCTACTAAAACCGAGCACTGAAATAAATTATCATGTATTGGTTTGTATAGTCTGGAAGTTGCTAAACAAAAGTTAAGCCATAGTTCCATGAGATACAGAAAACAATCCAACATTCAACCCATCTAATAGCACTTCTGTATGTGCTTGCATAAATCATCAATGTATTATTTGAACAAGACTATAATTACATAGAAAAGAGGAGAAAACAGTTCAATATACCTAAATTGAGAGGTTATAGGAAAGTTCCCCAAACCTCTCCACACTCCAGTCTTTCCCACCACTAGAGGGAATGAAATACAGTTCCCCCCCACATTTCTAAGACAGAGCCATCATAAAAACTATGAAGGATAATTCAGGTAACTAAGAAACTCTAGTGCTTACATGCTTTGCTGGGAAAATCTCCAATACAAACACGGACAAACAAGGGTTTCAGTAATCCCTGTTCAGTAACACTGATTAAGTTATTCCTTAGAGTTCAGGATTTACACTTCTCACAATGTAAATATTCTACTATCAGGTGAGGACTGCTTAGTGAGATACATTTAGACATCATATAAATACTCTGATATGTTTCACAATATATATTGAATACAGAATCTAAAACATGGCATTAGGTAACTAAAGAAAATACACAAATTTGCTTTATACCTATCAATCACTTGGGTTTGTGACAATAAAATTAACAGGCTTACAGTCACTGGCAGTCAATATCACTTGCTGAGTCACATGGACTAGAACAGGATTGTTGTCCTGGTTTTCCCAGAACTGCAAGGGAGTATTTTACTTTTTAGAAATCTTGTTCTAATAACATTGTTTTTAAAAACATCGAATGCTTTCAAATTCATACAGTTTTTCAAATGTGTTTTGTTTTAATTTTTTTTAAGAAATACTTGCAATACAAGCATTCTTTGCAAACAGAAAGTGAGGCACACTATGTTATTTTGATCTAGACACACCTTTGCCGTATTCTTGGCCCTGAACCATTTAACAGAAAAACAAAGCTATGTCATTTGACCAGTGGTTTAAAATTACAACCACTCAAGGATGGCTTTGACAAGGTTTCCACAAAATTCCTCCCCTCCCTTCAAGAGAATGCAAATTGACTTCTCTGCTTAAAACTACTAATATCTGGGGAAAAAAATTCCTGAAGCAAAATCCTCAGTGATTATGACATACACAGTAAAGCTACTAAACAGCAGTTATTGAAAAATGTGAAAAAATAAAACCAGAAAGCTTTCAAAGGTACTGTTAACACACAGTAGAAAAATGTTAATGCCTTTTTCTTAAAATTAAAAAAACTACAGCTGCTGTAGTTTACGTCCCTCTGATAATTTTGTCATTAATCATCAAAATATGCAAGACATCTTCCTGAAACTTTTGCATCAGAATTTTATAGCTACGTTTGACTCAAAACATGATTATACAAAATCTAACATAAAGGGACTATATTGTTAATATGTATGCTTTAAGATATCACACAGTGAAATTAATATTTCTATACAGGAAAGAAATAGTTATTTAGTTCCAGACAACCTGATAACATCTCTTTCAACTCTAGCTATAATTATCATGTACAAACTTCCAAAGCAGAAGTTGTCAAGATTTAACATTAGCATTAATTTATGTCAGGCATCCATTCCTCCAAAGACAGCAAGAAACATAAAGGAAGTATCATCTTAATTGCCACTAATTTGTCCATTTTTAATTAAATTGATCAGTAATTTATTATCTTACCCAGCAGCAGAAAGCTGTTAGTATGTAGCTTTTAGAGACAGCAGATACTAGTCCTTCCACTTTCTAATACTATCATGGTTCAAAAATAATTTAAAACTGCTGTATCATATTGCCTTTGATTCCTGTACTGCATGATATGCACATTCCATTTAAAACTTCTATGAAGCACTCTAGAGCATAATCATAGAATCATTTAGGTTGCAAAAGACCCTTGAAATCATCAAGTCCAACCACTAAGCTAACAGTGCCAAGTTCACCACTAACCCATGCCCCTAGGCACCCAGTCTGTAGTCCTAAATACCTCCAGGAACAGTGACTCAATCATTTCCCTAGGCAGCCCATTCCAGTGCTTGATAACTCTTTCAGTGAAGAAACTTTTCCTAATATCCAATCTAAACCTCCCCAGAACAACTTGAGGCTGTAGCACCTACATGCACTGTTCTCCTGTTTTGTAGTTTCATACTCCAGCACAGGTGTATGATCTTAATTTTACTTTAGATGAACAGGATTTCCCTGACAAAAATGTTTAGAAGATGTAACATCTGACTGCAAGATAGTTTCAGGAAGCAATTGCACTCCAATCACATTTTTGGGTCTTATCTGCAGTTTGATCTGTTTTTAAACTGAACACAGGATAAAACCTGAAGCTTTTAGGTTCATGAATCTCAATTGTCATTTCAGTGAAGGAAAGGGAGCTAGACAATTAATGTTCAATACCTGAGATGAAGACTAAAAACATATTTAATTGAAGTTTCAGAAAGTAGTCTACCAGTTTGATCATTAAAATTATGTATTTATTTTCTTTAAGATAATAATTATGATTTTCTGAACATTGTATTGGTTTTAGTACCATGCACAGCAGTTATCAACACAATTAGCTGAAATAGCATGTTCATTGAAACTCTGTGGGAAAACTCTAGAGTCAGTGGGAGATTTTCTATTTTTTCAATGAGATTTGATTTAATTCTGGTAAAAAATAAAGTACTACATGACAGATTTTGAAAAAGAATAGAGAATAAATTTTAAGTGTTTTAGAAAATAAGCTCATCAAATCTCCTTTTAATTGATTTTATAGCTAAAAAGAATTGATAAATGGATTGATAAACAGTATTGCTATTATGTCATATATTAGAATACAGAAACAGGACTACCAAGATCAAAACTATCACTGTAAAATATTCTGTAATACTTTGCACATGATAAGTAACATATAGACAAATAGCAGATTCTGGTTTACAGAGCTCAAGTGTACTCAAATGGAAATGTCTAGACATTACTTTCAATACACAGATAAATGCCCCAAATATAAAAGATCTCTCACTACAGTAATGAAGTGATGAATTATTTCAAATACAAAGCAACTTAAACATTCTATTATAAGTGATTGTCACAATTATGTTTTTTGTAGTATATGCCAAGCACCTGTTACAGGTGCTTTTACTAAATAGAGACAAGGTTTTGGCTTGAAACGGGGATGAATAAGTCTGATTCACATTGTGGGAAAAAGGAATTTAGTTACATTTTATATTTACAGTGCCAGGAAGAAAGAAAGGAATAGAAATAAAACCTGTAAAAGTGTTCCATTTTTTTCTCAAAGCTTTCCGTAAATACCTAACTGGATCATTTACTTAAATTCATAAATGAGTTAAGCAATAAAATTATTCCCAACTACATAATTCTTGTCAATCAGCATACCTTAACAAGTTTCATGAGATGGTAAAGGTCTTCAACCTCATCTTCCTGGCATGCCGTATACACTTTCCCAGTATTTACGCTGGTACCCCTAATGAAACCACGATAGAGTGGCAAATCCAATGCATCAGCATACAGGTCAATGGCATGGTGTCCTACTGTCTGATACATATAGCTGTCCAATTCATCAGTCTGCCCTGCCACAATTAAGAAACAAACGTATTAGGTAGATTATTTCAACAATTACAGATAATACAAAGACTTCAAAGCACCGACAAAATCTAAATGTTAATATTTTTCAGTTCACAAACAGATGTTTGGTGACAATACCGCTATAAACATGGAAAGAAAAAAAATAGATTTATCCACCCAACAGACGTATGGAGAGGAAGACATCTGTCACAAACATGCTGCCTATTTGCAAATCGTGGTGCCTTTTCTTCTTCCTGCTTTATCCAAAAATCTCATACCGGTCCAATTCTGACTCTATTTATATGGTAATTTTAACAGGAACACAGTTCAGAAGAACAAACCCAGATACATTTCAACATACTTGGAGCAAGAAATTTGTAATGTACTACAACTGAGAATAAGCAATAGGTTGTCAAAATTTACAAAAACTTTGCTGTTAAAATTATCATGGTCATTATGAAAGGAAATTATTTCTGCTTAAGTACAATAAAAGCAGACCACTATAATGTTTTGATATGTTTAATAAACACAAAGCTATTTCCTTAACCAGGAGAAAAAATTAACTGTTTGTAGCTAGCAAATGAGAAAAAAAAAAAACAGCTAAAATGAAGACATCATGGATTAGAATTAAATCTCAAACTACGCAATAAACCATTTACATATCAAATCTTTCAGATAATCTTTTTAACTGATTGATAAAGTAATACATCATTATTGGTGAAATCTCCACTTTATTAAAAGCTCACTATTTTAATGCTAATTTGTAATAGTGGTACTTCTCTGAATTTACATAGAGACATCAAGCATTTCTGCTGTATACCTAGAGAACATCTCACGAGGAAAAAGGTCTGTAACATGGATCAAGATAACTAACTCATGATGTAACAATTAGGTCACATCACATTTGATGCCACACAACATATACATTTCTGCTCAAAATAGGTAAATCCAAAACTATAATCACAACAAATCACCCTAGACCAGAAGAGTCGATTTAAACGAAAATTCAGTATTTTTCAACATATATCAATATGACAAGGTCTTTAACTGATATTCTGTTTAGAATACAAAGTTTCTTTATTAATTGAGACTCTCCAGGCAACAGTGGTACAAGATAAAATAAAAAGAATGACATAGAATCCGCTCTTGCCTGAAGCACCTCAATTAACTTCCTACAAAATTTCCAACTACACACTTAAAGAGAGCAGTTTATGATTTTAATGACAATATTCTACATTTCTGATGTGGATAAATTAGTTTAAAGACAACATATTTCAACAAGATTAGAGATTATTATGTCCTAGCTACCCAGAAAATAAATTGTTCCTGTACTCCCCTAGCATTTGCCGGTTCTGCCCGTGACTCATTTGTGATGGCAGCTCCCTTTTTTCTTCACTTTCTGTCTATCTTCCCACTATATAGTTACCAGATACCATACTTAATCACTTAACATATGTTGAACAGTCAGCCTATGTTAACATCCTTTAACATTCTCCCCTACCAACTGGGAAACAACTCACTTGCTTTTCAATTCTTGCTTCAAATTCAATTCACGCTCCAGTCCAATACAAAAGTACTCAGCCCACCCTCTCACCTCACCACTGGCTACCTGAGTTTCTCCCATTGTCTTTCACAGAAATAAGTCTAGGTGGAGCCTCTGAGGAACTAGTCAGAAAATTGGTCCAAGCTAAAAGGAAGGGAAAAAGCAGAAAAAATATGGGCATCAGGGTCAATTCCAACCCAGATCAGTTCCCCAACTAAGTTCACAGATGCTGGGTTAGAACAATGAAGGAAGACAGACAAAGATAAAAACAGACGAGCAACAGCACATTTTTGGCAGCTGGAATGGTTTATGCCAGTTTAAAGCATTTCTAGAAATACAGTGTTACTTTTGGTTGATTATCTCTTCAATCACCCTTTAACATTTGTGCTACTGAACTCTCACAATCCCTTTGTTTACCACCAGGATATCTGCATTCTTTTTTTCAAATTGTGTAAGCCTTTCTTGTACTGTTGTTCATCTTCTTATGGGCTTTTTTCCCCTTTGAGGAAAAATATGTTTATTACATCTTCACAATACTTTCTTTTTCTTTACCTTTTTTAAGTTTTCTATATTGCCTTCAATATGCAAAACTATAAAAACACATAAAAGAACTTAATTCAGGTACAGTTGTGTTTTCACTGTTTCTAACATACATAAAAAAAATCTCCAATAAGAAACATGGTTTTCATACCTCTGTTTTCAGCAGGTCTTAAATTTGCTAGAGCAACAATCTGATGCCCAGCAGCAACACACTGCATCATATTATAACAGCTGTCCTTCCCACCACTGTAAGAAAAAGAAGAGAGTTTTATTCCCTTATAACTTTTGCCTAATGGCTTAAAACGTAGCATCATCAGAGCTGGTTATAAAAGTTTGAAATATTAAAATAGTTGTAAAATATTAGTGGTAGGAAAAAATTATTTCACCATAAAATTACTATATATGTATATTGCCTAAATACAGTATCCATAAAGCACATAACCAGTTCTGTATCTTATTATTAATCTGAGAGGTTACATGAAGAACAGCCACTGACACTGGAATCCCTTCAAACAAAGACTGTCTTCTACTCCAGAGACAAATTACTTTGTACTCATTACCAGACAACTTGGATCAGAAAACCAAAATCTGTTCCAGAGTTCTCAGCATTAGCAATCTTTTCAAATTAGGTCTGTCATGTAGATGTGGTGCCTAGAGAAAAGGTTTAGTGGTGGATCTGGCAGTGATAGGTTAATGGTTGGACTCCACGATCTTAGAGATCTTTTCTAAACCTTGCTGATTCTATGTTAAAAATAACATTTCACCTTCATGGGATACTTAATCTAAACTTTCAACATCTTAAATGTCCTTTGCATTCTCTAAAACTTTAATTATTATAGGTAGCAGTTTCAGTTGACACTGCATTGAACATACACATTTTTTACTGCATTTAAATCCAAATAAAAATTACTGCTAGTAAGAAAAAAAACATAAAACCAAAAATAACTATATTCTTTGCTGAGGCCAACAGATGATATTCCAACACAGAGAATACAATTAATTTTGACATTCATTCAAGATCTACTGGAACCTTTTCCTCTACAAGTGAGGAAAGAATCCTGCTTTTCTGATGTAACTGAGAAAGTACTTCTCATGGATTTTAATCACTAGCAAAAGACTTATTACAATCAAACAATAAAACTAAGAGTACTCCAGAACACACACAGCTTAAAAGATCCACGTTTAGACTCACAGCCTTCAAACTACAACTGCAGGTGGAAATTCTGTGCAGCTTCTTTAAATGCCATGGCACAAAAACCAGGGCAGGAATAGGAACAGAGATCTACACAAGCTCTGTAAAACTGAATCGTTTCTTAGAATCACCAAGACATGCACAGGAGAACAGATAGTACAAGTAGTACTTCCCACAGTAGACCATTGGATTTCTTGTGACCACATTATTAGTATTTCTACCTGAAAGGAGATTGTAGCAAGGTGGGGGTTAGCCTCTTCTCTCAGGCAACTAGAGACAGGATAAGAATAAACAGCCTCAAGCTCTACCAGGGGAAACTCAGGTTGGACATCAGGAAGAATTTCTTCACAGAAGGTATTCAAGAAATGACTGGATGTGGCACTTAGTGCTATAGTCTGATTAACAAAGTGGTGATTGGTCAAACGTTAGACCTCTTGGAGGTCTTTTCCAACCTTAATAATTCTGTGACTCTGCAACAAACATCCAGTGTAAAGTTCCCTTCCTTATCTAGCCCTCTATGCAAGAGCTTGAAAGTGCCTTCCAGGAATGTAACCATAGTGCTGTTTCCCTCGATTCCTGCTTCTATCCATGCTAAAATTCTGTATGCTGTACTTCATTTGCTACGTAAACCTGAAGTAGAAACAGCATAGAGAACATGGCATCTTTTCATATCTAACGTATTTTCATAAAGCAGTTTCCTGTATTTCAGTGATACAAAAGTAAATATAAATATGATAAATAGGTTCCTAATTTGAGGTTCCATCTCTTACCTAACACTCTTCTCATGCATGTCTACAACTTTCTTCTAACCTATATATGGCCAAAAAAAAATTAAAAATTCATACATTCATTAATTCTGAATACTATGCTAGATAGCTCGAAAACATGGATAGTATTCATTTCACAATATGAAATTTCAGGCTTAACTAAATCATGAGACAAAGGCTCTTTTCTTGTTGAATGACTTTATGCTAAAAAATAAGTCTCCCACTAGTTCTGATTTCACTGACAAACCCCACTTCAGAAAAAAGAATCATATGAGAGTAGATAATTGCCTATGCTATTTACAGCATTTCAATATTTAAAAAATTAAAATGTCAATGAAATAAATCTGTTAATCTTTCCAATTATATGTATACGTATATATAATGTGACATTTAAGATGAGATTACATTTGTATTTCCCCCCCCAACTGCTTGAAGGAAATTTTTGCACACTGGATCACATGCTACTGTACTGTTATTTAATTTCTGTATTGTTTATCCCTAAAAACTAACACTACCAAGAAAAAAACAAAAACATGCCTACCTACAAGGCCTTCCAACTGGCTGTAAACACATTATGGTTAAGACCAATGAAGCCAAGACAGCCCATGCTTTGGGAGAAAGGTGGACTCAGCACAGTCCACACAAGAGAGATGAAGGCAGATATTGAGATAGGCTGGGGACTCCTCTCAGTTCTCACCACAGAAAAAAATTACAAGGCCTTTTCGTAGAAAACTCCAAAGTGGGGCCAAAGTCAGAGTTCTTTTGGACACATTTGCAAGTATGTTAACAGGAGGCTTATAAACAAACAAAATACCAGATTAAAAAAAACACAGTAACCATAAAGATATGAGCCTACAAAAGACTTCTCAGAAAAATTCCTTTCTACAAGTAAATGTTTTCTACAGTTTAAAAAATTCTAGAAGAATTAAAGAGTCGAAAAACATTGTATTTCAGGTTGAAGACTGACTTTAAAATGTCTATGATTCAGCACAAGACACAACACAGGGTTTAGCCCATAAATACCACCTTAAAGCAAGACTATCAACTTTAAGTGTGCCCAGCCTTTTAGAAGGAAAAGAAACAGGTTAAAGCAGTTTTATATATAATCCTGACCTTTTCAAAAGAAGCACTTTTCAAATACTTTTGTTCCCCTCTAATCTTTTGAGTCTAGCTCTGTTACAAAGATTTCAGATACTTTGATGTCTCTTTAAAACTCTTCTTAAAACTATTACTGAAACTAAATCCATCCTTGTAAAATAGCCCATTAAAATAGCAATTCTGTTAAAAACCTGGTTTTAGGATTTTATTCCATCCTGCCTTTTAACACATTCCTCTGCTTAGAGAAAATCAAAGTAAGCAAACCTGGAAGACAAAATCTTATCTATAAAACAAGAAAAATCACCAAAGTTGATTTTTTTCCTACTCTGTAATTAAGCAAATCTTGAAAAACATAGATAACATTTCCTGTATTTTCTTCTCTTTGGATGATGTTTGGAATGATTTGTAATTGTTGTGGTCAAGACCCAATTTCAACAAGGTTTGATATTAGGCAATGCCTGAAAGAATTTAATACCTTAAAGGCTTAAGTAAACAGCTACTGCAACCAAAAATACACTGCTCACATCTGCACAATCCTTTTCCATTTACAGTTTTTCTAGCTTGTTCTTTTTAAACTAGTATTATTTCTTCAAGAAAAGAAAACACCTGTCCTTGTTAGAAAATGCTAATGTTTCTAAAAATAAATAAATAAATATTTACAGTGCAAGAACTGCAGAAACTGACTAAAAGCAGCGGGGGCGAGGGGACGGTTGGGACGGCAAACACATCAGCCCCTGGCAGATAGGGCTGTGTCCCGATCCTACTACTTAAACGACTGAGCTTCATCTTTTAAAAAATTAAATCTCTCTCAAAAGAACTACCCGAAAAATCTAGCGTGAAGAGTTCGGGAAATTTATCTTGAGAGCGCTTAAGATACTCGGAACGCAACAGCACCTGGATAATGAACTGCAAATGAGCAGAAGCCCCCCCTGCGAGCGCAGGACCTGCGGCCGAGCCCCCGCACCCAGGGACGCCGCCCCCGCCCCGCGCAGCGCTGCCCGCGGCTCCGGCTCCGGCTCCCGCCGCGCTGCAGGCGGGATAACCCGGGACACCGGCAGAGCGGCGAGCCGGCGATCGGGGGAAATAATCGTGGGTGGTGGTTCGGGGGGTTTTGTTTGTTTGGTTGTGGTTTTTTGGGGAGGGGGGTTGTTTTTTGTTTGGTTGGGGGGTTTTGTTTGTTTGTTTGTTTTTAAACAGACACCAGTTCTGAAGCGTCTCTGGAACACGGGGAGACCAGAAGAGAAACTGTGAGCGCCTCACCCTGAGAGCAGAGCCGGCAGCCAGCCCAGGCAGAGTCGCCAGGGCAGGGGAAGGGGGGCGGCAGGAAACGCATGGGCGGGAAGGGCCGGGCCGGGGGGTTTCCAAGACGGCGCTGGGTGGAGCGCGACACCCGGGCGGGCACGGCTCGTCCCCGCGCCCTCCCTCCGCCGGAGGGTCGTGCCTCGCTCGCTCACATGGGCGCTCCCTCAGCGCGTTACCTGATCAAAGCCACTACTCTCATCCTGGTCACAGGCCGGGGCGGTAACACTGACAGGGAGGTGCGCGGCAGCCGGGAAGCGCGGCAGGGAAGGAGCCCCGTCGCCGTAGCTACCCTGGGCCGCAGACGCCGCCGGCTCCTCCGATGCTACTGCTTGGCCGCCTCCCTGGGCGGGTCCACCTCCCGGGGCAGGCCGGCAGACTGCCTGCGCAGGCGGGCGGCTCGGGGAGCCGCCGGTTCCCCACGCCCGGAAGGGTGTGTTGCCGCCGCCGCAAGGCTGCGCCGCGGCCGGGACGGCGGAGCCCGGGAGCGGCCCGGCGGCGGGCGGGAGGAGGGCGCGGCCGCGGAGGCAGAGCGTGGGGCACCTATAGCGGGCAGGGCGGCCGCGCCGGCAGGCCCGGTCCGACCGTGTGAGAGAGAGCATCGCCCGGCGCTCCTGCCGCCTCCCCCGTGCCCGCCTGTTGCCTTCTGCTCTTCAGCGGAAGAGCCACGGACCTGCTGCAAGCGAGTGCTGTGTAGGGAACGGGCCAACTGAGCGAGGCCGCCCCCTCCCCCTGGGGTGACCGCCGGGGACGCTGCGGGTACAGTCGCAGCCCCACTGCACAGCGTCCCTGGGCTGGGAGGCCGGCGGGGCCCACTCTGAGGGCAGGAGATGCTGCGGGGTTTCAGAAGTCGCCGCGGGCCGGTTGTAATCGCCGCTGCGAGCAGGGAGGGAGAGCAGAGCAGAGCTGGCTGCCTCCCTAAGGGATCTCTGCTCGCCGGCGAGCACAGAATGTCCACCCGCACCCTTGGGTTCCGCTTCTGCATATCGAAGATCTGAGCTTGTCATCTGATCCCTGTTTGGGGGCAATGTTTTGAGCAATCCCGCCATGAGGCATACAACAGGCAGCACTGCAGGTTTGTAGGCTGAGTCAATTAGAAGCGTACCCATAAAAGCATACCAACTAAAAGGTGCCCAATCTCTTGACTCCAGACACAAGTCTGTTTCTCCCTTGTCTCAGAAGAAAGCTGTGCGTTAGTTTCGCCTATGAAACTGTACCACTAAGCTAATTTCAGGAATCCTATACCACCAGATAAAGCCATTGCTGGTGCATCGTGGCAGTGTTTTGGGAAGCAGTCTGCGGGCCCACCACTGTCCAGGCTTTGCTTCGAAGGGCCCATGAGACTGAAGTGGGGACAAGAAGGCACGGGCGTATTGTTGGTTGCTCTCCCTCGGTGGAGCCTGGTGTGCAGGGTCAGCGGGGACAAATTCAGTGCCTCGGGGTGAGCCTGGGTACCAGCGTCTAAACTGGCAGTGACAAGGAACGTCGATTTATGGTTCCTTTTGAATTTAGTTGCAGCAACCACTGCAGATATCACAAAAGGCTTTGTTTCTCAAGCCTGAGACAAATGCTTTATGCACTGTGAGTGCTAACTTATCAGTTGCCTGTAACATTATACTATACAATGCTGTATAACAATCTGTACCACTCAGGCTTCACTCAAGGTCCTTGCACACAAATTGTTTATGAAGGTCCCAGGAAGAGACAAATGGAAGAAAATATTCTAGGAAAAAAACATTTTGTTATAGTGATGAATGTACCAAAATAAATGCCTAGTGAGACAAATATATGTTTTTTTATGCACAGCTCATGAAACAGCTTGAAAGACCACTTTTTTTTGAAGATGATTTTAGTCAGCACATGATTTGTACAGTAAAGCACTGTAAAATAGGAGTGGATAATTATGGGCAGATATGAAGGTGATGATGCCTTCCTAAATACACTTTGAAAAGTTAAGAAGTGACGATCAGTATAAAACTTATCTGATAAGTAGTTGGAAAGAGGTAGTAAACACAACATGGATTTTCCTGCATTGGAATAATTGCAAAAAACACATGTTTAAAACAAAATAAATCCGTGGTTCATGCTTTGACCATCACAGGCCAACAGTTATGAGACAGAATATTTGACTTGCCTTGGAATTGCTCACAGGACAGTTGAGTTATTGATGATGACATAATGTGTAATTCACTGAAAGCTTTTTCTGCTCTTCAAGACATTTTAGGTGATCTAAAAGGGTAACTTAGATGTGAAATTCTGATGAAAGGGCAAGAATTTTGGTATGGTTTGGGGCTTCTCTTTTTGGCTCAGAAAGGTAATGAAGACCTGTTCCAAATGAAAAGGGGGATTTTAGCAGAGATTACCAAATTGAATGAAGCAATACTGCATAGTGTATGAACTAGTAGAAAATAACCAGACCTCCGAGGAACTGTAAAAAAAAGGCAGACCAAAGGTTATTTATTGACCAAAAAAAAAAAGAAAAGTTATTTATTGACCAAAAAAAAAAATGTGTTTGAATGTAATATGCTTATTATTATCACAATAAAAAATAATTCAGCTAGTAGTTGTGAATACTGAAAAGATACTAATTTACAATACTTAGCAATGATACATGGAAAGTCTAAAAATCATGTATATATATATAAGTTTATAAAAGGGAGAGGCCATATAATCTGTAACTTTAATTAGACAGCTTTAGAACAAATATTCATAGACTTGTAAAGGTCTCTTCTAAGTAGCATTGTTAGAAGATCTCGAAAAGAGTAATTCTGAAGTCCCACTTTTTTGCAAAGGTCTGTTATTACTAATCTATTCTTGATACAATGTTGCTGTTTTTTCAGCAGATGGTTCTATTGCATTCAGTTTTACAGCTTCCAAAAAAATCAAATTTCCACTTACAAGTCAGACTTGTTTGAAGTAGAAGTTACATATGTCACTCTAGGACCAAAGTCTGCTTTGTGTGCTAGTGAGACTGGAATTTTTGCTTCCATTTGATGAAGACATCAGTAGTTATTTGCACAAATAAAAAAGTGAGATTTGGCTCCCAGAATTTGTGAAATATATCAAAATTGAATTAATAAAGTGGGGTTTCAAAACAGATTTTCCCCAAAAAGATGCTGTTTTCCAAATATGTGGAATATATTTTGTGAGAAAATCTGTTTGCTCTCATTCACCTGATGGAATAGCTCTAGTGTAGTGTCAGTGCTCTTGAAAAGTTCTGCCATATGACGATGGACAAAAGGCTCTCATCTCTCATCTCTCGAGCCGCTTGCCCCAAGACATGCTGCTCTACTGCCGCAGCAGCTGAAACAATAAAATCCTCCAAAGCTGCCTTTCATCTTGGAGGAGTACTGGCTAGTTTGTACAGAATGCCAGCAATGGCTCAGCGTTTCTTTTTCACCCTTTTCTGCCTAGAGAGTTGAAAATAATGATAACGAATTAATATAACTGGAGGAACCTGTCAGAGGATTAAAAAACGCAATGCAGTATCCCTAATGATCTGGAATAGTTAATTAAGTCCTCTTATAAATGAGTTCCAAAAATAACTTACTTTCAGTAAGTTATTCTGAGAAACAGTCATTTTAGCATACCTGAGCTGCAGTGCCTCTTAGAAAAGGGCCAATTATCTGGTGATTGGCACTTAAAGGTGAACTAATGAAGTTCTTAATTAAAAGATTTCCTGCTATAATCACCAGTAAGTAATAGAATACTGCATATATAAAGCAGATGTAATATTAGAAGAATATTTCCATTTTGAAAAAAAAGGTTTTGAAAATCATCCCCTCCTTTGCTTACCATGCCATGTCCAAAACGGTAATGTCAGGGTTTTCATGGGTGTAACTGGCAGTGTGCCACTGTTGCCTCTCATTAGAGTGTGCTGCTCTGACTCTCCTACAGTCAGAGGTGTTTTCCTCATCTAACAGGTGGCAGAATTTTTGCTGCTCTTAATACCCAAAGCTGTTTATGTAATACAGGAAAAATGGTTTGAGATTTTACAAGGGAATATATCAGACTTTTTCCACTAAGAAACTGGCTGCAGAGTTCCTTTAGCTGCCTGTCATTGACAACTTCCCTGAATTTTCACTTACTTCACAGTAAACACGGTATTATCAATTCTTCTGTAAGATAAACTTGAATTAAATTTGGGGAAAAAAATTCTGGTTTGGCAGCTTGAGATGTATTGACATACTACTAGAATCTGAATGGAAGAAATTTCTCAGGCAGTGCATCTTCCCATTCAGATGTAGAAGGACTCAAGGTCCTTCTGTCAACATTTCTACAGCTCGACAGATGTAAAGAGCATTGCTTGAATGCTGCATAACCATGCTAACAGTGCGTCAGGCCCAGGATAAAACAGCCTGTTAAGATTAGCTCAAGCACGTTGTCACACTGATCATCTCTTTTTAGACAGAAATAGGTATACATAGACTTCTGGTTGATCTCCAGCCATTAACACAGATATTCACACTGATGATCACCCTGGTGATCAGTGCTGTATGTGAGGAATGACATACTGGACCTGTGGGCTCCTTGCTGCTAAGCGCTCCGTATAAACACTACTAAATATATATACAACTAATTCTATAGTTCTTAGTTTGGCAGCCCCGGTGGTCTAGTGGTAAAGGCGTGGCGCTATCACCGCGGAGACCCGGGTTCGATTCCCGGTCAGGGCCACTCCCGGGCAGGTGGGGCTCGTTAGCCCTTAAAGGCAACCCACCTACGTCCTAAGGACCTCGCTGCCACCGTCCAAGCTCGCTTGGCCCCGGCAGATGAACCTTAGGATTAAAGGGTGGGCTCAGTTCCGCGCACACTGTGTCTCACCTAAAAAATCCAATGCGCAGGCTGGAAGGTGTAAAGACCTTCCCCAGATCTTCGCTCGCGAAGACTGGCCATTATTTATTATTATTAGTTCTGGTAAGACAAGAGTTGTCATTTTCATATGTGATTTTACTTGTTTTTGTGGAACTCTGAAATTCAGCAACTTTACTTTGTCCTTTATGTAGAATTTTTGAAGACTCTCAGACCTGTATTTATTAACTACTATGAAAGAAACAGAATTTAGCTTAAGGTAGCTTTATATAGGTTATTGACTAATAGGCAGTTGTCTTTATATGATGCCAGTTTTTCTAAACTTGTTGAACTTAATTTTCACTAACCAATCTACCAGTCTTTAGAGAGTCAAAAGTATAAAATTAGCCTTATACCGTCATACCTCTGTCAAAATGACCAGTGTTTCCATTTCCATCAGAAATTGCTGCAAGCCAAGATTCGTATTCACTGGCAGTTGAACAGTTTTTTCACTTGACTACATGAGTTTTCAATGTTTTTAATA